CAAGTATTGCCCCTTCTCTAGCAGTGCCATCTACATAAGCACGTTCTGGAAGAATTTCTCATGCAGTAACAAACCTCTCTCCATTCAAGCCCTTACCACTGCAGCAGTTCCAGTCAATGTTAGGGAAGTTAAAATCCCCTTTCACAACTTTACTATTCTTGCAGCTATCTGCGATCTCCTTACATATTTGCTCCTCAATCTCCCACTGACTATTAGGGGGACTATAGTACAATGCTGTCAAAGTGATCTTCCCCTTTTTTTCCCTCCCCTCAGTTCTACCCATTTAGACTCAACGGGCAAACCCTCAAGAATGTCTTCTCTGAGTACTGCCATGACATCCTCCCTAATCAAAACTGCAACTTTCCCTCCTCTCTTGTCTCGCCTTCTATCTTTCCTATAGCATCTGTACATTGGAACATTGAGCTGTGAGTCCTTTCCCTCCCTCCCTCAGCCATGTTTCTATCACTATATTATCCCAGTCACATATACCCATCCAATGCCCCAAGTTCATTTCCCTGGCCTGTCAGGCCTCCTGCATTGAAATAAATGCAGTTTAACCCAGACTTCCCTTGCTTCATGCTGTGCTCTTGCCTGCCTTATATCGTACTCGGATTATCAACACTGCCTGTACTGTTTAACTTGCTCTCAACTTTCTCTCGTCTCCCTACTGCTTTGGATCCCACTTCCCTGCCAGATTAGTCTAAACACTCCCCTGTGGCTCTAATAAATCTCTCCGCCAGGATATTGGCACCCTCTCCAGTTTAGGTACAACCCATTCGTCTTCTACAGCTCACCTCTACCCAGAAAAGATCCCACTGATCCAAGAAACAGAGTCCCTGCTCTCTGCACCAGCTCTCGAGCCACACATTCATCTGCCAAATCCTCCTTTTCCTACCTCTCGCTAATGTATGGCACTGGAAGTAGTCCCGAAATTACTATCCTTGAGGTCCTGCATTTAAACATTCTGCCTAACTCCCTATAATCACTCTTCAGGACCTCATCCCTTTCCCTACCAATGTCAATGAATCCAACATGTACAAAAAAGGACCTCTGGCTGCTCATCCATCCCCTTAAGGCTTTCACGCAATGGCTCAGAGACATCCTTGATCCTGGCATCAGTGAGGCAACACACCATCCTGAAGTCTTGATTGCGCCACAGAAACACCTGTCTGTACCCCTGACTAGTGAGTCCCTCACCCATCTACCCGACTGAACCTTTGGTGTGACCATATCACTAGTGTGTATCACACTCTGTTCCCTGTATGTGTCTCAGTGTGTCCAAATAATTTGATTTATTGTCACATGTACCTAAGTACAGTGAAAAGCTTTGTTTACAAGCAGTACAGGCAGATCATAGTAAGCAAGGACTACATAAAGTTGAAAAAAGTCTCGGCCAGAGGCATAAAGGTAACATTCCACAGCATGTGCGCTAGGCAAGGTCGGCATTATTTGAAGTTAGAGAGTCCATTCATCAGTCTAATAATGGCAGGGAAGAAGCTGTTCCTGAACCTGCTGGTATGTGTTCAAACTTGTGTGTCTTCTGACTGACAGAAGAGGTTGTAGGACAGCATTACTGGGGTGGGATGGGTCTTTGATGTTGGCAGCCTTTCCGCGGCAACGAGATGTGTAAATGGAGTCCATGGGTGGGAGGTTGGCTTCCGTGATGGTCTGGGCTGTGCACACCATCTTCTGTAGTTTCTCACTGCTCTGGGCAAAGCAGTTGCCATGCAAGGCCATCATGCACCCCAACAGTATGCTTTCAATGGCGCATCTGTAAAAGTTGGTGAGGGTCCTTGTGGACATGTCAAATTTCCTAAGCTACCCAAAGGGGAAAAAGGTGATGTTGTGCCACCTTGACTATTGCACCCATGTGGGAAGGCCAGGACAGGTTGTTGGTTATCGTCACTCTTAGGAACTCAACATTCTCAACGCTCTCAACTTCCACTCTGTTGATGTAAATAGGGGCATGTCCTCCTCCTCTCTTTCTGAAAGAAATAATCATTCTTTAGCTTTGCTGATGTAGAGAGAGAGGTTGTTATCATTGCACCATGTCAGCAAGCCCTCTGTCTCCTTTCTGTACTCTGACTCATCGTTCGATATCCGTCCTACCACGGTGGTGTCGTCAAACTTGTAGATGTCATTCGTTCGGCATTTGGCGACAGTCATGGGTGTATAGGGAGTATAGTAGAGGGCATGGAACACATTCTTGGGGGGGAGGTGGCTCCAGTGTTGAGTGTTATTGTTGAGGATGTGCAGTTGTCTACCTTCATTGATTGCGGCCTATGGGTCAGGAAGCGGAGGATCCAGTTGCAGAGGGTGGAGCCGAGACCTAGGTCTTGGAGTTTTGAGATCAATCTGGAGGGGTAACGGTGTTGAAGGCTGAGCTGTAGTCAATGAGCAGAAGTCTGACTTGAGTGTCTTTGCTGTCCAGATGTTCCAGGGATGAGTGCACGGCTAGGGAAATGGCATCCACTGTGGACCTCTTATGTCAGTAGACAAATTATAGAGGATTGAGGCAGGCTGGGAGACTAGAGTTGATGTGGGCCATGACCAGCCTCTCAAAGCTCTTCATGATTACGGAGGTCAGAGCCACTGGGCAGTAGTCATTAAGGTAAGTTGTGTGTACTTTCTTTGGTACTGGTATGATGGTGGTCTTCTTGAAGCAGGTGAGGACTACAGCTTGTAGAAGGGAGAGTTTAAAGATGTCAGTGAGTATCTCTGCCAGCTGGTCCACACAGGATCTAAGTGCTCAGCCGGGGACTCCATCTGGGTTCATCCCTTTCCTTGGGCTGACTCCCAGGAAGACCAATCTGACGTCTGCAGCGATGACAGTGGGCACAGGGTGCATCCGGGACTATCAGGGCAGGTGACACCACACCACTGGCATTCTGCTCGAACTGAGCATAGAAAGCATTGAGCACATCAGGGAGGGATGTCTTTGCCCACTATCTTGCTCTGCTTCATTTTGTATCACGTGATGATATTTAGGCCATGCCACAGGTGAGTCTGTATGGTCAGTTTGGGCCTCTCACTTGGTCTGGTACTGCCTCTTGGCATCTCTGATGGTTTTGCAGAGGTCATATTTGGATTTTCTGTATAGGTCTGGGTCATCCGACTTCAATGCTGCACACCTCGTCTTCAGTAGGCAGTGGATTTCCTGGTCCAATAGGTTTCCTATTGCTGAATGCCTGGATTGACTTCTTTGGTACACAGTCCTACATGCATTTGGTAATGAAGTCCATGGCAGTGACGGTGTACTCATCTAGGTTTCCCACTGAGTACTTGAATATGATCTAATCCACCAATTCCAAGCAGTCCGCTGCCTCAGACCAGTATTGTATCTGTGAAGGATCCTCCCATTTCATCTTCTGCTTGTAAGCTGGGAGGAGGAACACAGTGTCGTGATCTGATTTACCGAAGTATGGGCAGAGGACAGAGCAGTAGGTGTCTTTGATGGCTGTATAGCAGCGGCCCAGGATGTTTGGTCCTTGAGTGGGGCAGGAGATGTGTTGATGGTACTTTGTCAGCACTCTCAAGGTTGGCTTGGTCAAAGTCGCTGGCCACAATGAATAAAGACCTCGGGGAATTTCGGTTCCAGACTGTTTGTGATGGTGTAAATTTTGTCTAGGGCATTCTCTACCTCCGTATGGGATGTATGTAAACTGCTGTCAGGATGGCGGAAGTGAACTCATGTGGCAGAGAGTAGGGACAACATTTTACTGTAAGGTACTCTAGGTCCAGGGAGCAATGACTTGCCAGGGTCACTATGTCCAAGCACCAGGTGGTGTTGATCAGGAAGCATACCCTGCCACACTTTGCCTTACCAGAGGACGCCAAGTGATCCATGCAATGTATGGAGAATCCATCAGCTTGTAGGGCACATTCAGGAATGGCAGAAATGAGCCAAGTCTCTGTGAAACAAAGCATACAACTGCCTCTCCAACCAAAAAACACAATCTGTGAGGAGCTGCAGCCAGTCACATTCTGTACATAGCCATGAGGGACACTTGACTCCATCCTGATCTCCCACATCTGACAGGAGGGACATAGTAGAATTTTACCTCACCCTTACCTCACTGTTGGCACTCCTCTAAATTTGGTCTCTTCAGCACCCTTGATTTTAATCACTTCACTATTCATGGCTGTGCTTTCAACTGCCAAGGTCTGAAGCACTGCAATTCCCTCCCTAACACTACCATTCTTATTTCAAGATACCCCTTATACCTACTGTAATACTGCCTTATATTACTTGCTATCAAATGCTTGTCTGCAGTAATCATGTGAAGTGCCTTACAATATTATGTTGTCTTATGTAAAGAAGTACAAGTTATTGAAACAACTTATCTTACTAACAGTCACACAATATTGGGCAAGGCATTTTTCTCTGTTTCAATTATGAAAAGTGGCTACACAAGTGCTAAGACTATCCAAAAGAAAAATGGACATTTTGAAGCATAACTTACCAGGCTGTTTGTTGTTGAATGTGTATAAATCACAGGGGAAAAATTATGCAGATTAGCGTAGACACATCATTGAAAAGGAACAGTCTCGGAAATGAGGATAAAATACCGTATGTTTTCCCCCAATAAGCTTAAATTTCTCAGAGAATGGAGAATTAACTAATGTGAAGTAATTGCAAATCATGATAAAACGCGTAACTTGTATATTCTGCCTAATAAATCATAGGGTTCAGGACAGATATTAATCTTAAATACTGGAATTTAAATTGCGTCTTTGAAAAAGAACAGAGTGAACAGCCTGAAGCTGCGATGTCAAAGCACTGAAGTTAAGTTAGAAGTAGCTCTCGGTCGATTATGTCTGCAAGGCTATTCAAAACACAATATCCTGAAACACCACCACTCCTTCAACCCAAATCCACTCGCTAAGGGTGCGAGAAGGTCACGGGCAGGATTAAATTAGTTTACTTTCTGCCAACAACAACAACGTGCGTAAACTCAGAATAAGACACAACTTTATTTTCCTCAAGAAGATACACTTACGTGCTACTCTGTGGTGATCCTTCGCATCTCTTGAGGGTGGAAGTCCTGTGAACTGAACCCGATTTCCAGACATGACCGTGGTGATTTTATATATATTTGCGAAGAAATCGAGTGTTCTTCCACACCGTCCTTTTTTTTTGGTGTTAAGTGTATGCGGGTATTTGTATGGGGTGTCAAGTCAGCAAGAAGCGAAACGAGCGCTTTGCAGAGCTCAGGAGAATGGCAGTCCTATCATTCTCTCACGTTATGCCTCTGCCTTCGTTCGGTCTTATTCCAGGAGCGGTTGCTGCCAGAGTGCAGCGCGCTCGTTTCACGCTAGGACTGCAGTCTCGGGCCCGCCCATTCTGCTCGCTGTCTGCTGCCCGCCGGAAACTGCCTTCATTCACCTGGCCAGCTGTTCACAGCGAGCGGGCTGGAGAGATGGGGGCTTCACGAGGCAAAAGGGGGCTGGTGGGCGCTCGCGGTTTACTCAGCTGCGTTTCGTCGCTAATTATTAATAACAGGATTGCAGTTAGACTGCGTCATCTTCAGACCAGTTGCTGTAAGCTTGTTCCACGTAAATACAAAAAAAAGGCCTGGATGTGTGTGTGTTTTTTTAATGTGTTTTTTAAAATGTAAAGGAAGAACATGGGGCGTGCATTAAAGTAGGCATATAAAATGCATATTAAGTTTCCAGCGAGATAACACGCACTCTTAAAAGAAAACTCGAAGTGAAATTGCTGCCTCATTGGGGTTAATTTTGAAATTTTAACATTCGTTTCGTTCGAAATGAATTGATCCAGCAATTTCTGTCAGAGGTGTCATAAAAAAATTCTTGAGTGCAGCTTTGGCCTCTAGTTTGTTTTCTTTTGGTTTTGTATTGGCACGAATAAATTGCCTTTGCCTCCATTCCGACTGCGTTCGCCTAACTTTATTTTAAACATCAATCCGTCATTCATCTTGCTACACAGGGGCAAAAGAAAGATTTGTTGAGTACTGCTGAAAGGAAAGGAATGTCAGGATGATTAAGCGGAAGAAACTAGAAAGTTTTTGAGAAAAATTATAAGTACTAAATTATAGTATGTTCAGGTACTGTTGCTATCCCATTAAATGGTATTCTATAAATATACGTGAGCTCGAGCAAATAAAATGTAAATAAAAGTTTTATGTGAAATGTAAACATTAATTTCAGCTTTATTTGGAAGAATTATAATATGTCTATTAAATGCCAGTAGGTGCAGTTTTGTTTTCAATGTATCATATTCATCATGAAATTATTTGACATTTTTGTAATGTTCCTACCATTCAAAATGTTTTGATTCATTGTTATTAATTCTTTTAAGATAATGCTGTGTCAACAAAATTGTGCTGTGCTTCTGATACCTTTGTTATAAATGGTCATCCAAAATTATTTGAGGTCAATAATTACTGTAGGCTCATACAATAGATTGGCATTAGTTTTGTTTCTTGTACTATTAGGGAATACTGACATAACTCACTGCTAAGTTTCACAGTATTAAAATACTTTTCTGTTCCCATCACTGCCATTTCTAAAAGTTATGAGATGTTCATGGATTTCTTTTTCATGAAGTTAAAGATCAGCTACCATTCTTTTGTCCACAGTTGCTTTTATCCTTCCTTACTTTTATCCCTCCAAATCAAAACCTAAACCCCTGCCTTTTATTAATTTCCCCCTTTATTTGCTCCATTCCAATCACTCACTTGCCCTACCCCTCCCCTAAGTTTTCCGTTTTATCTCATATATCTTCAACCTCATCTAGTCCATTTTCCTGTACATCATTTTAATTCATTCATGGAATGTGGGCATCACTGGTGGAGCCAGCATTTATTGCCCATCCCTAGTTGCCCTTGGTGGTGAGCTGCCTTCTTGAACTGCTGTATGTTGACCCACAGAGTCTAGGGAGGGAGTTCCAGGTAATTGACTCAGCAACATTGAAGAAATGATAATATATTTCCGAGTCAGTATGGTGAATAGCTTAGAGGGGAACTTGCAGTTCTCATGTATCTGCTGCCTTTTTCTTCTACATGGAAGTAGTCATGGGTTTGGAAGGTGCTGTCTAAGAAGCTTAGTGAAGTTTTACAGTGTATCTTGTAAACAATATGTGCTACTGCTTTGGTGGTTAGCACTGCTGCGTTACAGTGCTAGGAAACCTGGTTTGATTTCAGCCTTGGTTGACTATGTGGAATTTGCATGTTTTCCCTATGTGTGCATGGGCCTCTTCTGGGTGCTCCAGTTTCCTCTCACAGTCCAAATATATGCAGGTTAGTTGGATTGGCCATGCTAAATTGCCTGCAGTGTCCAGAGTTGTGAAGGCTAGATGGTTTGGCCATTGCAAGTGCAGGGTTATGGGAATGGGTGAGCGGGGAGAGCTCGGTCTGGATGGGATGCTCTTCAGAAGATTGGTGCCAACATAATGGGCTGAATGGCCTCTTTATGCACTATAAGGATTCTATGCTGCGTGTCAGCGGTGGAGGGAGTGAATGTTGCTTTATATTGGCAGGTGAAAATAATGGCATAGTTCTTCCCTGTATTTAGTTAACTGGATGTTTGACTCTTCCATGCATAAGAAAAGCGGTCTCACAAAGGTGACTGGACCCTGAGGGAAGGGAAATATGGATGAGGCCTATATTTAACAAAATTGATTTTATTCTGAGAGATGATGTCAAAAGGGACAGCATGGAGAGGACTCAAGGACAAGACAACTGGGAATGAATGTATAGTAAGAGAATCCTGTGTTGGAGAGGTACTGGCTATGTTCGAATTATTAGATAGAATTAGTACCTCCTAGATTCTGACAGTTTGGTCAATTGATCAATTATGAGTGTCAGAGTTATTATAATGTCAGAATTATGGGCTGAAGACAGAAAACTATCATTCCTGGGCAATATACTATCAATTGGTTTGGCAAATCGCTGAGACCAAAAACAAATGATCTAGGCAATAGTTTTCAACGATGTGCTGTGACACGGTGAGAATAGGCCACAAAACGTTTGGAAACTAGCACCGTTTTACCTGAGTGTTGAGGCTTTCGATCTCCTCCAGAGCCTCGGTTTCTATTAGGGAAGGTAGTATCAGCTGACACCAGATGCCCCTATCAACTACATACGCGCGAGCCTCCAGAGCCACGCATGTGTAGATTTCCAAAAGCCACACATGGATTATGATAAAAATGGATGAACTGTGACATCATTTGTCTCATTGAAGTGTAACTTGATACTGAAAAGGTTGGGATCCACTGATCTAGGAATGAGTGGCTTTTCTCAGAGTAAGATGGGGACTAGGTACTTTGTCCAGGTTGCTTTCGCGGATGCAAACGAAAGTAAAACACTATGGATGCTGGAAACTGAAATAAAAACAGAGAAACTCAAAAGATCTGGCAGCATCTGTGCAGACAGCAATAGAGTAAACATTTTGAGTCTGATATAACTTCTGTTCAGATCTAAGAACTTTTTGAGACTCTTCTTCTGGGTCAGTCTTCTGAGTGATGAAGAGTCATATTGCGCTCATAATGTTAATTCTTTTTCTCTCCAGAAATGCTGCCCAATCTGCTGAGTTTTTCCAGAATTGTCTGTTCTTATTTTTTTTTCAGAGGCTTCTTCACCTGGAGTACCAACTGGAACTGTGTGGAATAAGCATGACTATCCCATTGGGTGCTAAAATGACACTTTGCACATTAAGAATCTGTTGCCTGACTTATACACTATTTAACTAAAATGGCAGCACATTCTTTAACTCGACAATATTGCAGCAGAATCTGATCTCATAATCACAAAGAGACCACTGTCTAGTAATGAGAAACATGAATTAATAAATTGAATGAATTTTTTTTGGCTTGACCTGTAGTTGACCAATGTCCTCAGTAAGGCTTTGACCAGGCTAGTTAACTTTGATTAAAAATATTTATGATGCGGTATTATTCTATGTTTTTGGACATGTTATGACATGCCTCCAAGAGAGATGATACTTAAATACTGACCTTCTCGTCCAGAGTTAGGAATGTTACATCTACACCATAAGAGTCCTCTTAATACAGGGTTAAAGATAATTTTAATCAACCTGTCCAAGTAATTCTCTGGAACAGGTGAACCTGAATTCAGGCCTTAAGGTCCAGAGATAGGGACATTAACACTGCATCACAAGAGCCCATTAAAACATGGTTATATCTGGACTCTAACGAGTCCATATGGCTAAATACCAGGTAGATTACTATTTTCTCAACTGAAACACTAACAAATAAACAATCAAAATCTTTCATTTGAAAGGAAATATTTTTCAATTGTAATTTTTAAAAATATTTGCTTTCAGGTTGGGTGCTATGCCTGAAGTACTGGAGAAATATAAGGTTGTTTTGATTGTTGTTTTCTTGTGAATTTCTTGGTATTTCAATATACTGTATATAACACATAAAGTAAATGTGTGTGGAATTGATTTAAGTTAAATTGACATTGCAGCCAATTTTACGAACAGAAGTTTGACTCATATTAAGTATTTGTTGAAATGAGATTTTTGTTCTGAGCAACCAAAGAAAGAATTCTGGAAAACAAATGTACATATGAATTTATAGAGATAAACTGATTAATTTATGCAATCATTATTATTACAAGCTAATGTCTGTAATAACTTGAAAAGCTTCTGAAATCCTTAAACTGAGCTTCTTGAGTTCCTTGTTCGTTGAAGAACAATGGTATAAAAACAATGCTTATAATCCCATAATTTCCCCTCCTCTGCAATTAAGGATGCCCTCAAGTGCATCTCCCCCATTTCCCACGCTTCTGCCCTCAAACCCCCTTCCCCCACAACAATAAGGATAGAGTCCCCTAGTCTTCACATACAACCCCAGCACCCTCCGAATCCCAAGCATCATCCTCCAACATTTCCACCACCTAGAATCAGACCCCACCAGTAGAAAGATATTTCCCTCCCCACTGCTGTCACTTTCTGCAGGAACCATTCCTCTGCGACTTCCTCGTCAGCTCCACACTCCCCACCAACCTCTCCACCACACCCAGTACCTTTCCCTGCAACCGCAAGAGGTACAACACCTGCCCCTATACCTCCGGCCTCACCTCCGTCCAAGGCCCCAAACAATCCTTCCAGACCTGGCAGAGATTCACCTGCACCTCATCCAATCTGATTTATTGCATTCATTGCTCCTGATGTGGTCTCCTCTATACCAGGGAGACCAAACACAGAGTTGGGGACCAGTTCACGGAGCATCTGTGCTCTGCATGCACCAACCAGCTCAACCTTCCGGTTGCCATTCATTTTAACTCCCCCTCCCACCCACCTGGCAACATGTCCATTCTTGGCCGCCTCCTCTGTCAGAGCGATACCAAATGTAAACAGGAGGAACAACACCTGATATTTTGCCTTGGGAGC